GGGTGCCCAGAGAAGCTGTGGCTGCTCCTGAATCCCTGAAAGTGCCCAAGGCCCAGCTGGACAAACTTTGGAGCAACCTGGGACTGTGGGAAGTGCTGGAGTTGGAACTGGGTGAGCTTTAAGGTCCCTTCCAACCCAAACCAGTCTGGGATTCCATGGTAACTTTGGCCTGAGGGTCTCAACTCTTGGACCAGGTAGGTCTCTGGTCACTGAGTAAAATGTCCATGAAAAGAAAAACAAGGGGAAACCTCTCTGTTTAAACCCTCTCACCTGCCAAGTGTCCAGATTCCCCAAATGTATCTTGGAAAATCCTCTACCTCCACAACCTAAATGCAAAATCAATCTCGTGAACTGGGGAAATCACAAAATCTGAGCTGTTTAGGAACAAGAACATCACAAAGTGGGTAYGCCACCGAGTTCCTGGGTTTCACATCCCAGTGGGGAGGAGCCAAATTCCCCAGGTAACCSCCTGGCCTGGGAATTTGCCTTTACTGGGGACAGAATTCTGTCCCTCAGCCTGTCCATGTCCCATCCAAAGCCCTCAGCCCCAGGGCTGGATCACACAGGGAGGAGCATGCTCAGGTCAGCACAGAGAAGCACAGGCAGCAGCACAATATCCAAGAAGCAGAAAGGAAAACGAGACATTCCAGGATTTTTGTTAATGAATTAGAGCAAGGCAAAACAGAAAAAAAAATTAAAAAAGGCTGGGGAGAACATAACAACAACCAGAGGCCACAGTGAGCCCAGCAATCCAAGTCAGGCAGTGTTTGAGATTTGAACTGTGAACATAAAAAATGCTGTGTTGACTTTGCACCTGGCAGGAGCACTCCAGCTCCTTGGAACCATCCTGCTCTGAAGGATTAAAAACCAAACAAAACCAAAATACTGACTGCAAAACTGCTGTGGTCACCCAGGGTCTTTCAACTGCTCTAGAAAGGGCTCCTGGAAAGCCTGGGTGAGTTAAGGAAGTGCAGGCTGCAMGACAGGAAATCCTTCACATGGAAAYAAATCATTTCTTTCCAATCTGGGGTGTATTTACTGYTAGGATTCACATGGCTCCTGCGTTACCCTGGGTTGTTCACAGGAGAATAAGGAATTGGAGCCCTCAGTGCCACACAGGCCAATATTGYCCCCAAGTGCCCTTTCAGGTGAGAAGGTTCCACCCTTCAAGCTCAGGTTCCCCCATCACCTCTGTCTGTCTCATAAAGGCAGAGCCTTCCTCAGAGAGGAGCTCAGAAACCTCATTTCCTTGGAATTACAGGAAATCTTTGGGGTTCACCCTGACTGTTACTTCCTCCTTTGGGTGTTTTTTTCCTTTGAAATCGCACTGAACCACAATTTCCTTCCAGAATTCCTGGCATGCACCTGATACCCCAGAACCAGCTCCAATCCCATGGCAAACCCTAGAGCCAGCACCCAGCACAAATCCCTGCTCCACATCCCCCTGTTCCTCCTRAAACCCTGGGGACGAACACAGCATTAGATATGTGGTGCTGGGGAGGGTCATGCAGTGCTCAGAAACATGATYAGAGAGGTCACCACTACCTGGAGGGTCTGGACTTGCTGGCCTGAGGCCGATGCCACCTGGGCCTCAGTCTGCAGCTGGACAGCTGTGACACCTCCCTGCTGCTGGGAACAGGAACAGGGAGAGCTTGAAACATGGAAAGGCACGGCTCTGACATGACAAAACACACTGCTGGGATGGGAGGGAGGGGTGGGATTCATACACATTGCTCTTGGAAYGTGAGGAATGGGAATTTTAGCAAACCTAAGGATGGAGTTCCCTGGAACTGCACATGGCACTGCCAGGCTTCAATATCCCAACTCATAAAGGACAGCAGGGATTGTTTTGCAGGATTTTAAGCTCAGTTTCAGGGTTCCAGATTTTGGTCCCACTGGTTTSTGACAACAAACCCCATCCTGCAGCATAGGCTGAGCTCATCTCTGCCACCCCTATGTCACTGCCCACCAAGGACCCTGAGGGACAGGCTGGAGAGGCTGTTCAAGCTAAAAGCCTTTTCTATCTTTAGCCTCTTTGCTAAGAGTCCCAAAATATTCCCTGTAACTGTGTTAAATGGRGAGATGGAGGACAGCTCCCTCCCAACAGCCTGGTGAAACAACTTATTTTAGAAAAATGTTTCATGTCAGACACAAGCTTTAAGAGCCTGCACTGAAATTGAAAGCCAAGGGATGGTTTTATCTCCTTTGTACCCARAAAGTGTCAGTAAAACCAAATACATCTTTGGTTATCTGCTGCTAACAGGTATTTCAGATAATCCTTAATACAAATTTTTTTTTAATCTCAAGTGCAATCTTGTTCTGGCTGAAAAAGCCAATTTCAGCTAAACCCAGTGGAAGAATTTGGTCCCTGCTGAGGCCAAAGCAAAGCAGATCTCCCTGAAAAAGTGATCCAGGGGCTCAGCCCTTTGCATGACAAATCACCAAACTCCTCCTGCCTTGAACTAGAACAGAAGATGCAACAAAAACTCATTAGCAGCTGAAAATTCATTCCTAAATCTGAATATGGAAAGCTTAGCAGCAAAAAATCAACAAGCCCTTAAAACTCAGCCCTGATATTTTGCACATTGAAACACGAACTTCTTTGTGGGAGAGGTGAATTCATTCAAAGCTATATGGCTGGTTTAATTCCTGCTCTGTTTGTTTTGCTCCACCTGTAGTTTTTTAAAAAAAGAATCTCAGTAAATGCTTCATTTGAGAAAATTGGAGAAAAACCTCTGTGGGCTGGAGGAAAACCTATTTTAATTCTGGGGGAATTGTTCTTGTGGACAAGTGACTGTTTCTGTTAATATTCTGTTTCCTCCATTTTTAGACATCTGTTAATACATTTTTGTAAGTTTTTGTGTTTTACTTCCCTCACTTCCTTACCAGTTTGCAAACTCCCTGTTACACTGAAATTYGGTCACTTGTACACCTGCAATTTAATTTTATAGCAAGTTTATTTAAAAACCAAATTTACTTTGACTTCAGGCATGTGCCATCAGTGCCCAGGTGACAAAACTCAGGTGAATGGTGCCCAGGCAGGATCAGGAAGCCCCCCCAGTGCTGCTGTGCCCCTCTGAGGGGTGCAAAGAGTTCCCAAATTGCCACATTCCGTACCTGCTGCTGGATCTGCCCGGCCTGCACCACGATCTGCTCCGTGGAGCTGCTGCTGTTGGCTGTGTACTGCTCCATGGCACCTCAGACCCTGGCAAAACACAGCAAAAAATCAGGTGATCACTGTCCCAAGGCTTGGGAATTCCTGTTYTCCCCCAGGAGCTGCCCCCAGGCAGATCTCTGCCAGAGCTGCYCCATCTCAGCAACAAACAGAGGGGGCATTTCAGCCACATCCAACCTGAGTGAGCAGCAAAACTCCCAAAATTCTGTCCCAAACTTCAGGGACCCCACCAGTTCTGAGTCTGCACATCCTGGGCTCCAGCCAGGTGCCCACAGGGGATGTCACTGCTGGAAAACCTCAGGAAATACAACCCTGAGGTGTGAAACCAACCTGCACTTCAAGAATTCGGCAGAACTGGGAAACTTTCTCTCCTTCCCCCACTACACACCACGCTCTCCTTTTTTCACAGAATCCCAGAATGGTTTGGGTGGGAAGGGACTTTAAATCCCATCCAGTCCCACCCCCTGCCATGGGCAGAGGACAKCTTCAACCATCCCAGSSTGCTCCAAGCCCCATCCAGCCYSAACTTGGACATTTCCAAGGATCCAGGGKCAGMCACAGCTTCTCTGGGCACCCTGTGCCAGGRCCTCCCCACCCTCAYAGYCAARAATTTCTTCTCTAAAGAAGTATTTACATACTCAAACATATTCACATGTATTTTGAGAACCACCAGCAGATTTCCCAGCACCTCCCTCCTCTTGCTGCCACTCACTCCTTGGCCCTTTCCCTGCACACATCAACAACACTTCACTGAAATAAAACACCTTTTCCCTGCCACTGCTTCTCCCCTCACTGGCCCAACAAGGAAGAATTCTTCAGGAGAATCCTGTAGTGAGGTGTTTGATTTGTGCCACAACTGAACAAGTGAGAAAAAAAAAACCCCACAGCCTGGAATTTCACTTTTCAAAGTCTAAAGCAATAAAAYCTGAGGCTCCCTCAATTTTCCAAGGAATGCTGACAGGATTAAGTCACAGGCTCACTSTACCAGTTGCTGTGGTTACTTCTGGCATTTGAGCTCTATCCGTTGCCCATTCACTGACACTTTTTCACAGAATAAAACTCAMAGAATAAATATTCTGTCTGAACATGCTGCTGCCTGGTTCTCGTTTCAATTTTGCACTGGATACTTCATTTCTGCCCTTAAATTAAAATGCTTAATTAGAACATTAACAGCACTGCAATCCCAACACTCTGTACCAGCTGCCCAAGTTCTGGACAAGGTTTTACCCTGGAATGTCTCATCATCCTCCGAGGGATTATSTCATCCCTTTCATTAAGCACAGAGTACCCAAGTTAAATATTAAAGATCAGGGATCCATCAATGGCAGAGGATGGCAGCTCCTCCCCCAATGAGCTCATGGGCAGTTCCTCCTCACCRGGAATGCTCTGGGAATGACAGTGTTCAGTTCCAGCCGCAGTATTCATATAGATACTATATAAATATATGTAAWAAATATTCTGAGTTGGAAGGGGACCCATTAGGATCATCAAACTCCTAGTTCTGCACAGGACAGCTCCAAAAAATATACATACAAATATATGTATGAGGCCATGGAAGCTACACCAGGAACAGTTTCCTCAACAMCCAACCCACACCAAGAGCAAACAATGAACGGTCTGGGAGCTCCAGAGCATCATTTTAACCGTATCACAGCCCGGAGCAGAGCTCCTGAACGGGCACAAGTTTTCCAGGGCACAGCCTGCGAGGTTCCCGTGGGATCCCTGTGCTCCAAGGACACAGCGGAGCCGCACGCCCACGCCAAGACCGGGATAAACACGAGCAGGGCGGAGGGGGCGGTTGGAACACGACATGTGGAGCCCGGGTTTAGCTCCTGACTCCAGGAATAACCCGGGGCTGTTTCAGCGCGGGGGTCTCTCGGTGTGCTCGGGCCCCTCACAGCCCTGCTACCGGACACCGGCGGGGAGGAGGCACCGGACGGAGCAGCCCGAGCCTCCGTGCCAGCGGGGAGGCTCCCGGGGAGGGCGGGGCGCCGCCGGGGGGAAGGAGGCCGGGCCCCGCTACGGCGCTCGGCCCCGCGCCCCCGGCCCAGCCCCTGGAGCAGCCCCACCGCGCTCAGCCCGTTGCTCGCAGCCCCGCTCAGCCCCGCTGCCCCGGTCCCCCCAGCGCCGCCCCAGCCCGGCCCGGCCCCGGTTCCCCCCTCAGCCCCTGAGTGGCCGCGGCCCCGCCAATCCCGGCGCGCGGGGGCTCCATATTGGCCGCTCGCGCTCACCGTGCCGCGCTGCCCGGTCCGCGCCCCGCGCTGATTGGCTCCGCCGCCGCGCCCCGAAGCCCAATCAGCGCCCGCACTCGCCCGCCGCGCAAAATGGCGCCCAACCGCGGACAAAGGGGGCGAGGGGCGGGGCCCCGCCCGCCCKCGGCCGCCCAACCGCGCGCCTCGCCCCGCCCGGAGCCTCTGCGCCTGCGCGGGGGCGGTGGCGCGCACGCGTGGGTTGGGTCCCGCCTCGCTTTTGGCTCCGCCCCCTGCTCGGAATGTTCTGGGCTGGGACCATGGAGAAAGGTCCGCCCGCGCGGACGGAGCGGCGCGGCCGCCATGTTGTGTGGGTCGGGGCCGCCATGGTGTGTGAGGCGCGGCCGCCATGTTGTGTGGGTCGGGGTCGCCATGGTTCGTGAGGCGCGGCCGCCATGTTGTGTGGGTCGGGGCCGCCATTGTTTGTGAGGCGCGGCCGCCATGTTGTGTGGGTCGGGGCCGCCGTGGTTTGTAAGGCGCGGCCGCCATGTTGTGTGGGTCGGGGCCGCCGCGGTTCGTGAGGCGCGGCCGCCATGTTGTGTGGGTCGGGGTCGCCNGCCGCGGTTCGTGAGGCGCGGCCGCCATGTTGTGTGGGTCGGGGTCGCCATTGTTTGTGAGGCGCGGCCGCCATGTTGTGTGGGTCGGGGCCGCCATGGTGTGTAAGGCGCGGCCGCCATGTTGTGTGCGGCCACACCGCCGTGCTTTGTGAGGCGATAACGCCGTGCGAGTTGAGGACGATCCGCCGAGTCCCCGTGAGACGGCTCCGCCGCCAAATCGCCGTCAGGCGGATCCGCCATCTCGCTGTGAGGCGGGGCCGCTGAGGCTGAAACGGGCCCGCCCTGCCGCCCTGAGGCGGTACCGTCAGTGTCCCCCTGGGGCGGAGCCGCCGTGCTGGGGCGGTACCGTGTGGCCGTGAGGCGGGGCCGTGAGGGCCGAGGCGGGGCCGCCCTTGCGGCGCGGCCGGAGCGATGTGGGCGGTGCTGGGCAGGCTGTGCGTGGCGCAGGCCGCGGCCCCGGCCCGGTTGATCGCTGTTCGCCCCGCGGGTGCGACGGCCGAGGGGCCCTGAGGGGTGGGAGAAGGAGGAGGAGGGTGATGATGGTGATGAGGAGGAGGGCGGCAGCCTGGGGGTGTGGTGACCCAGGGCTGGGGCCTCCTCCCGGGCTGGAGTTGTGGGCGCAGCGGGACAGGGTCAGGGGTGTCCTGTTTGTCACAGATCAATTAGGCTTATCYTTGCCCCCTCTAACACACTCTTACTGCCTAGCTTGGAGTCCTAATAATTGTTTTTCTCTCATCTTTCCAGCTGCAGGAGCGTTCTCCATACCCCACGTTACCATGGCCACCCACTTCTCCAAGGATCAGGAGGAGAGAGTGCGTAGGAAATGGGTTACGTGGGATATTGTCTGTGCAAAGAGGCCTTCCCCTTATTATAGCCCTGACAGCGCAGCACTGGCTGCATCCCACAGCTTTTGGGAACAAAGTGGCTGCCAGTGCTTTAATTTCATGTGCTTTTTGTGTGCCTGTGCGGCAGCACAGTGCTCACCTGCCTGCCTGAACACCTCGGGACACCCAGCACTGCTGCTGCTAGAGGGTTGCACTAATCCAGCTGTACTCTGTTATATAGTTACACTTTTAAGCATTGATTTTGTAAGAGCTGGCATGTGAATTACACACGTGGGGTGTGTAATTCTCTGTATTGTGTAATTCTCTGTAGTGGGGCTGTAATTCTCTGTGTGGGGTTTGTAATTCTCTTGTGTTGGGTTTGTCATTCTCCATATTGGGTTTGTGAATTTGTGAATTTGGTATGTAATTCTGTCTGTGGGGTTTGTAATTCCACTTGTGGGKTTTGTAATTCTGTCTATGGGGTTTGTAACTCCCTCCCTTGGGTTTGGAGCCCGTGCCAGCTCAAACACTTGCACCCTGCACAGCAAACTCACACCCTCGCTCTGTTACTGCCCTGTCCCCAGTCACCAGAGCCCTGTGTCCCTGACTGAGCTCTCTCAGGAGGTTTTGTTGCCCCTGCCCTGCAGATCAAGTGTGTGAAGGGGGATCTGTTCTCGTGCCCAAGCACGGATGCCCTGGCTCACTGCATCAGCGAGGATTGCCGCATGGGTGCCGGCATCGCCGTGCTCTTCAAGAAGAAGTTCGGTGGTGTCCAGGAGCTCCTGGATCAAAGTGAGTGGTGCCTGAAGGAGTTCCTGATTTCCAGCACCTGATTTCACCAGCAGGGAGGGTGTTTGAGCTGCTTGGGGTTATGGAGTGTGGCTGTTTTAAAAATAACGTGTTTTTTTGTGCTTTAGAGAAGAAGACGGGGGAGGTGGCGGTGCTGCAGAGGGATGAGCGGTACATTTACTACCTGGTAAGGGCTGGGGTGCCCCTGGGACACCTCCTTGTGCCACATATCAGGAGGTTGTGGGGTTTTTGGTCATGTTCATGGAATCATGGAATCACAGAATGATTTGGGTGGGAAAGCTCATCCTGGGCAAGGGCACCTTCCACTATCYGAGGGTGCTCTGARCCCCATCCAMCCTGGCTTTGAACATTTCCARGGATCCAGGGGCACCCACAGCTTCTCTGGGCACCCTGTGCCAGGGCCTCCCCACCCTCACACACAGGAATTCCTTCCCAATATCCCATCTAACCCTGCCCTCTGGCAGTGGGAAGCCATTCCTCCTTGTCCAGACCCTTGTAAATATTCTCTGTCYATCTTGTTGGCTCCATCAGGCACTGGGAGGGAGTTTCTGGAATGTTTCTCTCAATAAGAGGTGTGAATGCACAGAACTGGCTGCTAAATTAGAGTATTTTAAACTGTGAAATGCTGGTCTTTGTTCAAATCTTTCCACAGAGGCAAGTCTGGGTGTGGAGTTTTGGGATGTCATGGGATTTGTGTATTGTAACAGTAGTTTGCAGTGGTCATGCCAAAGCTGCAGTTGAGCTTTGATGTTTTTCTGCAGATCACAAAGCAGAAGGTTTCTCACAAGCCCACCTATGAGAGCATGCAGAAGAGTTTGGAAGCCATGAGAGCTCACTGCCTGAACAACGGAGTCACCGATATCTCCATGCCCAGGTGAGGGGCTCAGGAGCTGGGAGCCCAATGCTTGGGTGTTTAATTYTTAGAACGGTCTGAGGGATGATCCCCTGCTGTGAAATAAGAATTCAATCTCTACCCAACTCCTCTGTTCAACTGAGCAATCTAACTTGCATTTTCCAGTGCATTTCAATAATATCAAAGCAAATTTGAGTTGTTTCCTTGTTCTCCCTGTGCTCTGTGGGTTTATGGGAGTTGAGTCTGGGCCACCTTAAACTGCATTTGCTCCCAGGGCTGGTTGGACACAGCATGAGGCCCCACAGCTCTTTTGGTGCCTTTGTCTTCCAGGATTGGATGTGGACTCGATGGCCTGCAGTGGGAAAAAGTGTCAGCCATCCTTGAGGAGGTGTTTGAGAACACTGACATCAAGATCACGGTTTACACCCTGTGAGCAGAACAGTCAAAGAGCCCCATTTCCCCCATTTTGGGAGCAGAACCTGGGAACTGACATGGGGAGCAYGTTCTGCATTCGAGTGTCACTCACTTGTGTGACAGTGACAGGGGCTTCCAGCAGCAACAAGCTCCAGAGAAGTTCATTTGGGGTGTTAATTAGCAGGAGGCAGCGGYGCTGTGGAAACCTCGGGGAGCTCCCAGTGTGTCCCAGCAGCCACCAGGTGTCACTGGGGCTCCACGCAGGGAAACGGAGCTGCTGCCTCTTGGGGTTTCTCGTTTTGGTTAGTGCTGATGAGCTGCCCCAGGCAGCCCCGTCACCCCTTGTTTCTCCTGTTTGCAATGTCCTGCGGGGCACTCGGGTCACTCACCTGTTGTCACAGGTGTCACACTTTAATTTCTCCCTTCTGGCCACAAATTGGGTTTGCTGTGATTGTGCTCACTCAGGATCATGTTGTGATGTTCAATAAATAGTGCCCTGCAGTTGGATCAGTATTGTGGATGTTCTGGGGACAAGTTGGAATTGCAGGGAGTGCTTGAAATGTGTTTATACAGTACCTGTATCATTTATAGTGCAGAGTTCAGTTTGGTGAGGTTCCAAACAGGCTGATGGGCTCTAAAACCTCACAGGACAGAGTTTAAGGTGGGATTTTCACATTTCTTTGCTGCATTTGTAGCCCAGGTGTTACATAGGTTGGTATTTGTCACCCAAAACAAAAGCAAATCTGCAACACCCCTGGGCCATCAGATTTGTGGGAAACTCCTGATCTGGAAGAGTTTGTTCCAGAACTGAGGAACTGTCACTGCTGTTTCATTCGTGTTTGGTTTCCCACCCTCCCACAATAACAAATCTTTTGGGCATCTCTCATTCTGAATGCCCAGGGAAGTGCCAGATGTGGTGGATAAATGTAGAAACGGGACATAAGAGTTGGGAATTTTGTAGCATGAGAGGTTCCCGATTGGATTTCCTTGGAAAGGGAGTGGATGGGACTGGTCAGTTCTGTGGGGTTTTTTTGCTGCTGCCAGTCCTGTTTTTATCTTTAGGAGCTCCCTATTCTTACTCTCCCTGTTCTTGCCTCTATTTTGTAAACCTGATTGGTGGGGAATTTCTGTAGCTGGGAAGAAAAACCTTGTACAGTGAGAAATTCGGAGCAATGAGCTGATCTGAACAGGCATCGAGGCTGCTCGTGGATTCAGTCCTTTCCCTTGTTTATGTCTGGGTTTCAGTTCTGGTTCCTTRCTGATGGCATCCCTGTGAGCCTTGTTTTACATGGAAAATGATCCTGGTTTCCAGCACTTGTGTGTAYTCTGCACATTTTTTTGGCATTTAGTTCTCCCTTCTCAGCTACGAAATATTCCCTGTGTGTCTGTCCTGGGATGTCCTTGAACTTGAGTGTGTCAGGTTCAATTGAGGACTTCTTGCAAGTAGAGAAGAAGGAGTAAACAGTGCTTTGGCTTTTGCAGTGACTTCCCATTTTATTTCACTTTGCTTTTYCCCAGGTTTATAACCCAAACATCATTGTTTGACATCGAGTTCTTGGGCTCTTTCATGATTTGGAAGAGAGCTGTTGGCCCTGAATTTAATCACAGCTCTGACTGTTGAGGAGAACAGAGGGAGAAAACTTCTTTTTCACCCTAAATCCCTTTGTTTTCCCATTTTTGTGCTTTCTAATGCATTTATCTAACCAGCAGCTTTGTTCTAAGGTCTTTTCCCATGAAGTATTCCCAGCATGTGATCCCACAGCCTGTCTGTGGCTCACTGCCATCCCTTTCACCACAGCATGGGTTTGGTTGGGGCAGGGAGGGGGAGGAACAAAAAACACCCAAAAAATCCCAAACACCAGAGGTCTGTGTTGTGTGTGTGTGTTCAGAGTCCCACAGGGCCTTGGCTTCCAGAGGTTGGTTCTCCATCSTGCTGGAATCAAAGCTTTGGGAAGCGAGACTGTCCCAGGTGTCCAGGTCTGTCACATCTCTTCATGGATCCTTCCTGACCCTGGGAGGGAAAAAGAGAAATGTCCTAGAGACTCACAGGTGACTTCAGTACCCCATGAAAAAGGGAATTGTGGAACAACTGGGATTTCCTTTAATGGTGGAGATTTTTTGGGGGTGTGAGGAGAATCCCCTTTGCTCTACACTACTCTCCCTTTATATCATCTATGTGGGGAACAGGGAGATGTTCTGGTGGCCCTGGAACCTTTTAATTCTTTATTCCTGGAGGAGAAAACAGAAAAGCTCTAAATCCCTTAGGAATCTGCTATGGGACAGCCACAGAAGGGCAAAGTGACTGCTTGGGATTATTAATAACAGAAATTGGCTGTGGGTCATCAYTTAAGAACCCCAATTAAAGTGAGAAGAGTTAATGAGTGACCCCCCTGGGAACCCTCACTCACCTGATCCTCAGTGCAAGATCTCAGCCAGCTTCTCCTCGTAGTAGTGGAAATTCTCCTGAATATCCTCCCAGGGCACGAAGGACGTGGCCTCCTCCCCTTCCTCCTGCTCCACAAAGTTCTTCCAGACATACTCAAAGTCTTGAGGCTTCATAATCCTCAGCTTGCAGCCGGCCTCCTTCATGCTCCGCAGAGCCGCCTGCATCTCGGGCTCCTCCCACATGAAGAGCCGGCCCACCATGATGGTGAGGCGCAGCCCCTTGTTCTTGCGCAGGGCCTCGCAGATCCTCTGGGCACAGGTGACACAGGGGCTGGAGGACACGTACCAGGTGACATCGTGGCGGGCCCCGGCCTGGCAYGTGGGCAGGATGTTGTTGAAAAAGGCCATCTCGGCGTGGGCGGCCGCGTGCTCGTCCTCCAGGTAGCCCCGGCTGGTCACCGGCTCCTTGCCCTGCGTCTCCACCACGTAGCACAGGAAGGTTTTGTTCCTGCCCGAGCTGTATTCCACRTTCCTGAACTGGAATTTGAAGAAGATGGCTGGGAGGCGTTCCCTGGAGAAAATACAGATTTAGAAAAGGATCACACAGTTGGGTCAATGCTGTGTTGGACCATGGACAAATCAGACAAATCCATCTCCTCTGATTCCTCTTTGTTAAAAGGTTTAAGTTATAAAATAGCCAGATCAAATCCAGTTTGCTATCAAAAAGTGGATTTCCTGCTGGATTTTGATACTCTCCCATGGTTACTATTGATAAACTTCAGCTACTTTTTTAATTTACTGTGCACCTCTTCTGTGGTTCCAAAGAAATGAGGAGAGATCCCCTTGTGATGGAACATCTCACGGGGAGACTCTGGAGACAGGAAGGGAATGGGATGGAAAAGAATGGGAAAAAATGCACGTACTTCCAAGGATAGTGCTTTTTCTGCTTGGTATCCTGGATAAAGAGTGGTTCTTTGGCCAATGATTCTTTAATAAATGTTTTTTTCAAGGGCAGCCATGAGACACCCATTCCAAAGCGRTGTCTGCAATGAGTTGTTTCACGATAACATCAGCTTTTTAAATACATCAGAGGCATGGGGAATTTCAGCCCTGATTGAACTGTCTGACAGCAAAGGGGTCACAGCCRTGAGGAGGTTGGCTCTGGGTTTTCATGGAACAGCTGAAGCAGCAGCAGCCTGCTCCAGGATGGATTGACTCAGGATGGATTGACTGGGAGCTGGGTTTAGCCAGCCCTTCCAGATGGATTTTATTGCTTATCTCGGCGTGTGCCTGAGCTTATCTGGGATGTTCACCTCAATCTCTGCTCCCAGCAATATCGAATCTGCATTAGTTCCATTAATAACGTTCCAAAARGGAATATAAACAATGCTCAGGCAGCTCATTCCAGTGCCTGGCAACCCTTTCTATGCAGAAATTCCTCCTGATGTCTGTCTGACCTGAACCTCTCCCGGCCCCATTTCCCATCATCTTGTAGCCTGGGAGAAGAGGCTGATCCCCACCTGGCTCCAYCCTCCTGRCAGGGGGTTCTGAAGAGTRAAAATGTGTGCAAAWACTCCTTTAAAAATGGTTCACAGGCTCTGAATTCCCACAATATTCTCAACAGAAACCCCTGCTCTGACACCAGGCTGGGGTGGCACAGCTGCCCTGAGGATAGGAAAGGTCAAAATTGAAACCTTCCTACTCCAACTGGTCTGAAAAGCATCATTAAATGGCATTTTTAGGGATTTCTAAATGCTCCAACCTGATTTATCAAAGTTTATCAAAGTGTTAGATCATATTGAGACCAAAGAGAATTGAAAATCTGAGGCAGAATCCTCAGTCTGGAATTAAAATTGCTGAAATCAGGAGAAGGAAACTGGATGAAATCAGGGCTGGAAGAAAGAGCAGCTGCCCAGTGTGACCCTGGCACTGGTAGATGGGAAAACTTTTAATGAGGGAATTAAAATGTGGATTATCTAAAAGAGTAAAGGAACCCAAGGAATTCTTCCTACAAGGAACCTCATTTACACCTGGGAAAAGTGGAAACAAATGTGTCAAACATCAGGAAATGCTCCCAGATTGGGATTGCAGGCATCCAGCTCTGCATTCAGCCAAAAAAAAAAAAAAGGGATAATATTCTTAAAGAGAGTAATTGGCTTCCCAGTGTTTCCTGGAAGCCAGACTCCTCCTGGAGCTAAAAGCAGCCGGCTGAGAACTTGGCTGGGAGTCCTGAGATGCCCCTAATCCGAGGGCTAAAGCTGAAATGCAACATAATTGGGTTTAAGTGCTTCTTCCCTGGCTGCAGTTGCGTTTCCTCATCATCCACATAATTGCCTCGATTGGCTGGGAATTTGTAAATCRTTTGAAAAATTCTCACGGTGATACCAGGTCAAGGCCTGGCCTGAACTCCCCAGGTCCTCCTTCAAATGAAAGGAAAAAAAAAATCCCTGGGGTTTTTCTACCTCTCTTGGGGTCCTTTAGGATTTCCGCTTCACTTCCTTATTTTAACCCTTCCAAGGGTGGAAAATGCTGTCAAATCTGTGAMATTTCCATGTTTTTTCAACAAAGGATTTCATGGCAGGGTGGTGCTGAGGAAGTGTTTACAGCCATGGTTAGCCCAGGGCCTGGGGGTTTCCAGGGAACTTCGTACATCCCTCTCAGTTCCTCAGCATTTAACTGCTCCAAGGCTGAAAAACCCAATTTCCTCATTAAAATTCATTTTAGGACATGTCTGAAGTGTTCAAAGTTTGGCCCAGTGGTTTATATCCCCAATTTTTGGTGTCTTAGCTCCATTCCTCTCCTTAAAAGCCCCTGCTAATCATTATTATTTCTATGATCATGGGTGGCAGAGACCACACCAAGAAAGGATTTTTTTCAACAGCAGTCACATTTTGAGAAAAAAAAAAAGATTTTTTTCTACCCCTCTGCAGGAATGGAACCTAATTTTGTGACAGAGGTGCTGCCCTGCCTCACTGATCCCAGWCAGAACAAGCAGCCAAATTTCACCTGCAGAATCTTTCCTACCAGCAGCATTCCGAGGGGGATTTGGGAGCTTTTAAGCAGCTGGAAGAAATCCTGGGTTTGGTTTATTTTACTGAGACACTCCTTTAGTGACTGATAAGGGAAATGTGAGGGGAGAAGGGCTCATCCTGCTGCTCCTGCAGGGAGCATTTGGAAATGCTCAGAAGGAGCAGGCACTGAGGGCTTTTCCTTCTTGCAGCTGTCAATTATGGCTGAGAGTTCAGATCCCTGTGATATCGCGCTTTTCCAAAGGCCAGGCTCCCTGCTGCCCTGCTGCCTTCAGAACTGCCTCTTGTTTTGGAGTCTTTTCTGCAAGTTGGGCTTTTTTTTTTATTTTTTTTTTTATTTTTTTTTAGTTTTATGAAAGTCAGGTTCCAGCTGTGGCTGTGGAGCTCTTGAAAATGTGAACCTTTAGGTCTCTTGAAAAATCTGTCCCTCAGGCCCATCAAGCCAATCAGCCATGGCAGGGGTGTTTTTCCTCATCCACAGGTGGAGAAACTCTCAGACAAGAGCCATTGATCACAGCAAGAAATCGATACCGAGCTCTCATCAAAGCCAACACCTCCATCCCCATCCCATCAGCGGGGTTGGGAGGGGACCAGCTGCAGAAACAGAGCTGTTTCTGTAAAACAAGAGGATTTCTGTGCCTGCTGCTGTGAGTCCATCCTCTAAAACTCAGCAAAACTCAGAACAAAATCCCACAATGACTCCAAACCGTTTCAGACTATTCCGAAATGCGCSGGCAGAAGATGCTGCTTGTGCTGCATTAAAGCTGAGGCAGAACTCTCTGAACCCCGTCAATTCCATATTTATGGAATTTTTTATCCCATTCTCTTACCCTGTCACGATCTCAAAGGGTGGCAGGTCCTCCCTCTTCACCTTCTTCTTCTTCCCCTCGCCCTCCTCGGCGTTGTCGGGTTCCCCATTCTGGGCGGTGCTGGGCTCCTCCTGCTTCTCTGCCATCTTCTCTGAGACACCAGGATCGAGCCGTGGCCACTGCGAGAGAGAAAAAGCGATTTTTGAGAGCTCTGGGAGCCGAGGGAGGAGGGAAAACAGAGCTGGGAGTTCCTGCCCCAGGCACAGTTGTCAGGAACTAAATATGGAACAAAGCGGCGGCGGCGGCAGGGGCTGGACGGGGTTGGGTGACCCGGGGCTCTCGGGTGTCACCTCCTTCCCCTGCTTTCTCCAGCTCCTTCCAGCGCTCCCTCTTGCTCCCCTTTTTAATTTCAAACCAAGTGACAATTTCGCAGTGGGCGGGATGAGCCCGTGATTTTCCCCGATGGAAAAATCCTGGAAGCTCGAGTGTGTATTTATCCCGCGGGGTGACAGGCGGCTGGCACRGGGCACCTCCCTGCCCTCTGCCCCTGGATTCCATCGCTGACCTTGAAGGACCAGCTCAGCCTGGCCTGGCTCAGGCAAGAGGGGAAGGGGTTGTGGTCATTTTGCTGGAAAATCCCTGGATTTGGTGGGTTTGGTTTTGTGGATCACCTGGAACATCCCAGCAGAACCTGTGGTTCCTCTCTCCTTGCTCATGCAGGGCTCTGAGAGGGAAATCTCCMGATTTCTGCAAGCCAGAACCTTCTCCCAAATATCCAAGAGTCTAACTGGAATTCCCAGTGGACAGCAGTGCTAATTCTCCCTTTGTTCTGTGTTTTTCCTCCATGAGTGTTCCATATATTCCCAGTACACTGGGTTAGAGGGGTTTTCCCTCTCTTTTTTATTCCATTCATGATTTTATTAAATTCTTCCAGCTTCTCACTCAAAATTCCACTCATTTACAGTTTCTATCAATCCCTGAGCTGAGTTTAATGAAAACCTGGGTGAGGTTTTGCCCAGGGACCAATCCTGGCCGTGCCATGGGGCAAAGGAAGTGGATTGTGGAATTTGGAAGGATTTTTGAATCAGAGCACATTGGAAATCAAACTGTGGGCTCTGCACTTAGCTCAGAAGGAGGAGGAAATGTGGAATATTCTGCTGTATTTGAGGATATTCATGGAAAAACCTGCTCTTGTTTGAGGAGGAGAAGAGGTATCCATAAAAAGCAGAATTTTGGAAATACGTCCTTTGGAGCCAACTCAGCCTTGGTGATCCCATTAAATTCAGCTCTTTGGAGCCTCGGGAGGAGCCTGCACCATCCCAAAGTGAAATAAATCCATGCCCTCGGGCAGGTCATTTATTATCAGAGAAAATTAATAATAAATTATCACAGCTCGTTAATTCTGGCTGCTGTTCCCAGTCCCCTTGCCATCCCCCTGCCCTGCTATGCTGAAATCCTTTGGAGTTTTTTCCTCAGAGCCACGGTGGATGCAGATTTTGGGGCCTCTTGGATGAGTTGTTGTTTTGGTGGCGTTGTTTAGGTGACAGAGCTGGCGCTTGGAGCTCCGCGGTGACAGCTCCACCAAGGATTTGACAAATTCCAAGACATCCTATCCATGGAACATATATCTTCCATGGTGCAGGATTTTATTTATTTTTAAGCCTAAAATACTTYCCCGTGGGGCAGRGGGKGTGTTTTGCCTCCAGCGTGGTGGCAACGACGCTCAAATTCCGCCTCCCCTGTCCAACTGCTGTCACCTCTGACATTTCAGGGGCTGCTTTTGGGGTGGGAATCCTCTCCCAATGACTGACAGCTCATTTCCTCCTAATCCTGATATTTTCAAGCAGCATCCCAACCCCYCTCCAGTCCCTCTGACCCACTCTGCTTTATTTTTGGAAGCTCTTCGTGGCTGGGGTCCTGAATTTTAGCTTTGGCCGGCCCCTGCGAGGGCTGAGCTCTAATCTAATCTGGGGAATGTGGCACCGAGGCTCCCCCTGTCCCCAGSCTTTGCCCAGCTGCTTCCCAGCTCCTTCTAGGGCAGTGCTTGGAACAGCCACGATCCTGCCCCCACTGCAGCCAAAAATATAAAAGGGCACCGCAGAGCTGCAAGGGTGGGAGCCGGGGGGTGGGCGAGGGTTTGGTGGCTTTGCTGGGTGTTTGTGACCCCAAACAGGTCCCCAGGGGATTGTGGAGGGGCTCCCAGCAGCATTCAGGAGATCCCAAATCGTGCACCATGCAGGGAGGGTTTTTAGTGAGGTTTCCTTCCACCTGTCCCCACTGATTTAATATTTTTTCCAGTTGGCTCTGAATTTGTTCATGGAATCATGGAATTGTTGAAGCTGGAAAATCCCTCTGGGATCATC